TGGGATCCAGACACACAGATCTGGGATCTTAGAGGAGGTCCGATTTAGACCTGGATTCAGCACTAGGATGATTGCACCCACCCTGCATGATATCATCATCCTCATCATCATCTCTCAGCGACTTTCCATGCCATCAGTCAAGATGCCCTTCTGGAATCTGGAGCCTCTGTCTGGGTAGGAGTGAGAAGGTGTGTGTCTCTTTTTGCAATCAGCCCCAGAAAGGTGGCGTTTTGAGGATGTTTTGATATTAGGATCCTGTGGACTGGAGTTCCGCAGGATTGCACCTTGTCTACACAGCTCCCCCGCCCTTCTGTTGGGCATCCATGTGAAACCACTGGGCAGGGGTCTTCTGCAGTTTGGGGATGCACTGTCATCCACGCACAGATGACACACAGATGGATGGCCCCTGTCAGGGATGCTTCCGTTGCGACAGTTGAGGGCTGGACTAGATGACCCCTCGGGGTCCCTTCCACGCTCCCATTCTACAAGTCTGCATTGCCCACACAAGCAGGGGAGACGGCGGATAAGCTGAACTGGTTCCTGACCTTGGCAAGGGACTGGATGAGGGCCAGGAAACCGGAGATCCATCCAGACAAGACAGAGGCGACGGTGGCGGGGGGTTCATCTCTGTTGCTTGGCCAAAGGGAGGAAGGAGCTGGCTAGTGATCTGGGGGTGAGCTCTTGGGGGCTCAGCCCCTGTCTGGATATACTGGAAGAAGCAAAGGTCACTACCAACCTTTCTATATGCTTGTAAAACATGGACCACTTATAAACGCCATCTCCAAGTCCTTGAAAGATTCCATCAACGGTGTCTCTGGAAAATCTTACACATCACTTACAAGACAGGCGAACTAAAATCAGTGTACTGGATGAAGCAAAGATCACCAGTGTGGAAACAACGATTCTTCAACATCAACTTCGTTGGACGGGTCATGTTGTGCGGGTGCCTGATGATCTTCCAAAGCAACTACAGTGGTACCTTGGGTCAGGTTACAGACTCCGCAAACCCAGAAATAGTACCTTGAGTTAAGAACTTTGCTTCAGGATGAGAACAGAAATCGTGTGGCGGCAGCGTGAGGCCCCATTAGCTAAAGTGGTGCTTCAGGTTAAGAACAGTTTCGGGTTAAGAACGGACCTCCAGAACGAATTAAGTTCTTAACCCGAGGTACCACTGTACTCTATTCCGAACTTAAAAATGGAAAGCGTAATGCTGGTGGTCAACAAAAGAGGTTTAAAGACTCTCTCAAGGCAAATCTTTAAAAATATAGTATAAACACCGACAACTGGGAAGCGCTGGCCTGTGAGCGCTCCAATTGGAGAACAGCCTTGACCCAAGGTGTTATGGGCTTTGAAGACACTTGAACTCGGGACGCAAGGGAGAAACGTGCTAAGAGGAAGGCACGCTTGGCAAACCCTCAAGGGATCAACTCCCGCCTGGAAACCAATGTCCCCACTGTGGAAGGACGTGGGGATCTAGAACTGGCCTCCCCAGTCACTCCTTGTTAAGGCTGTGTTTATGGAAGACAATCTTACTCGCCAGAGATAAAGAGAGGGATGTGGGTGACCTGCCGTCCACCTTCACGGTTAGACTGCTGCAATATTTGGAGATTCTTCCTGCTCCAAGGCCTCCCTGGGTTCTGCTTTGGCTTCTCCATTGAGAAAAAGGAAGCTTTTTGTTTCCAGAGAGCAGCGGAGAGCAGAGAGTGCAGAGGCTGCCTCCCAGTAAATAAATACAGGCCATGCCAGCGAAGGAGCTTTTGGCAGCCGGCGGATTCGTCCTCAGGCCGGGTACCTTCAAAGCACGTCCAGAGCTCATGAAACCTTGCCTGGCTCTCGTGATGCTGAAACTCACCCACACCCTGTGAAGCTGGAAGGCCTTCTTCACGCAGCACAGTGTTAGCCTATGGAACCTGCTGCCACTAGAGAAGACTATGGATGGCTGCTAACCAAGGGGGCTGTGCTCTGGCTCCACAGTCCAGGGTAGCAATGCTTCTGGATCCCAGAAACCGCAGCAGGGGAGAGGGTCCTTGGGTTCAAATCCTGCTCGTGGGTTTCTCTTATATATATATATAAATAATCTTTATTCATTTAAATTACACACATATACAAAGAATTTACAATCTCATACTACAAAAAGAAAATTAAAGAAAAAAGAATAAAGGAAAAAGAAAAGAATACAGAAAAAAGAAGAAAAAGCAGATTTACATGCATTAAAAAAAACCTTAATCTTCCTAATTAATACTTAGATAAACAGGTAAATAAAAAAGACTTCTGATAAAAATATTAAAGAATATAAAACTGTGCTGGGGAAACGACAACAGTATAAACAGTACAATGAGAATGATTGGAAGACTCGTTTTTGTGGGTTTCTCATTGGGGGGCATGTGGTCGGCCGCTGTGAGAACCAGATGGGCCACTGGCTTAATCCGGCAGAAATTTCTTGCGTTCTTATGTTGTGCACTGAATGTCTTCCTTGACTGGGTGAAAGACAGAGAGAGAATGCAGAAAACTTACTGTACAAAGGTCCACATGTACAGCTGTTGCTCCGCCCACTTTTGCCTCTGGCTCCGCCCACCATCACCACCACCGGCCCTTGAAAGGTTGCCTCGAAAGGACAGCGGCCCTCACGTGGAAAACAGCTTCTTACTGGCCTTACAAGGCCAACCCCACTTACCTGGGAGCAAGCCCCATTGCACTCCAAAGGACACCTGCGGGACCAGAGATTCTCAGAGGACTGGAATAAATATTTCATAGAATCATAGAATCCTAGAGTTGGAAGAGACCACAAGGGCCATCGAGTCCAACCCCCTGCCAAGCAGGAAACACCATCAGAGCACTCCTGACATATGGTTGTCAAGCCTCTGCTTAAAGACCTCCAAAGAAGGAGACTCCACCACACTCCTTGGCAGCAAATTCCACTGTCGAACAGCTCTTACTGTCAGGAAGTTCTTCCTAATGTTTAGGTGGAATCTTCTTTCTTGTAGTTTGAAGTATTTGAACTATTTGAAAAGCAATTGTAATAAACAGATTACGCTAGTAGGATTGCAAGACGTTTTGTAAGGAGGACTATGCGGAATATTGCAGAGAAGATTATGAAGAGAATTGTTAGTTAGGGATAATTGAAAGTACAGTAATAAGGAATTTAAGGAATGTAGATTAAGTGATAAAAGTCTGGAAAATCTTCAGATGTGGTTGATGGAAGTCCAAAACGTTGTATAAGAGGAGAAATTATGTTATATGATTGTTGGGAATGATATGTAAATATATATATAACAAAACCAAAGGACACACTAATAATAACAACAACAATAATAATTTATTATTTATACCCCGCCCATCTGGCTGGGCTTCCCCAGCCACTCTGGGCAGCTTCCAACAAAATATTAAAATACCGTAATGCATGAAACATTAAAAGCTTCCCTAAACAGGGCTGCCTTCAGATGTCTTCTAAAGTAGGCATGGCTCAGATGGCGGCCAAAGGCTTATACTGTTACCAACTCAGGTCCCAAATGTCCGAGAGGCCTCCTCCTCCCTCCCTACAGAAATCCTCAGGTATCGAGATGGGCAGAGCTGGGGTGGCAATTTTAAAGCATGTTCTTCGTGGCCCTTTCCCTAAAACTAAGTGGCCACAACGGAGAAGGAGGTTTGTGTCCAGTGGCTGGTTCTGTAAGCTCACCTACGGATAAAAGGATAAAATGGCAAGATAATAATAATCCTAATAATCGCAGAAAGCTTGAAAAGAATAATTGAGTTGGTCATTTAGTCCAACCCCCTGCAGTGGAGGAATCTTGCACCCCAAGTAGGACTCGAACCCACCACCCTGAAATTGAGAGAGCTGTGCTCTACTGACTAAGCTATACTGATTTGTGAAAGATATTCCACGGTGGTGTATTCACATCCGCTCTCTAAATCACCGAGTCAGTCTGGTCTGAGCAAAATAATCTTTTATGCGGGTGCCGAAAAGAGCTCAGCAGAGGCGCCTGCCTGCCGGCTGTCAAGTGGCAGGGAGTTCCAAAGTGCGTTGGTGCTGCCACACTGAAATAAAGACCCGGTTCTCACAAATACGGAACGGGTCTTGCATTGAAGGCCCCGCTCCGCCTTCATGTATGTGGATTTCGAGCAGGCAGCAGTTCTGCAGGAGCTGCGTGGGGACCTCTGCCCCCAAATTCTGGGATGGCAGTGCCTCCACCTGGCAGCCCTGGGGAGGGCAGGCGTGACTCTCCTTGGAGGTTTTTAAGCAGAGGTTGGATGCTTTAGCTGAGATTACAAGGCGCACACCCTGCGGCCTCTTGCGCGGCGCGTGCTGCTGCCCGTCCGCTGCGTTTCCTCCTCCCTCCTCCTCCCTCTTTCCTCGCTGGCGGTGCGCACAGGCGTGTGCCCGGCGTCCGCCTGGCCGGGATCCACCTCCCAGCGCCAAACAAAGACCCCTTTTTCACAGCCCGGAGAGAGGAGATCGGAATGCCGATTGCTTTGGGCACACCTCAGATGCCAGCCCCCTTTCTGTTTCCATGCAGCCTCTTGGAGGGCTCCACATTTAGAGGGGGGAGGGTGTTGTTCCATGGGGGACCCCCTCTGTGGCACGCTGAGGGGGCAGCGAAACTGGGAGGGTCGAGGACTGGACCGTGTGGGTTTGTGAGGTAGCGTGGTTCAGTGGTTAGAGCGCGTCAGGCACGACCGGAGCCTGTGAAAACTTTGTCCTTGGATGTTAAATCAGATTCGCTTCACCTTTCCCCCGACCCTCCCCGCTTGGCTGAGCCGCGCAGGGTTGCCACCTTTCCCGACTGGCTCTGCTCCTGTGCCAGTTTGGCCAAAAGCAGGAAGATGAACGGGAGTGGGATATTTGGACCGGGCCAGCAGGCTCTCCTGAAAGCAGAGGAGCAGGGCCAGGGGAAAAAGTTGGCAACTTTATAGCAGCTAGAAGGGTCTGCCTGGGGTGAGGTGGGGGCGGCAGGCCGGCCAGTTTTGTAACCCCCACATTTCCCGTCTCTTCCCTCCTGCAGCCGAACCGGTGGACGTCTTGAAAGTGTTGCAGCTGCAGAACCAGCCCGAGGGCATCCGCAAGACCACGGGCTTCTGCCCCAAGAGGCGCTCAGGATCGGGGCCCGACGTGGCCTACCGGATATCAAGGCAGGCGCAGATCAGCGCCCCCACCCGGCAGCTTTTCCCAGGTACGCAAGCGAAGAGTGTGTGTTGTGGGGGGCGAGTTCCCATCACTCCCCCTCAATTTAGCCCAGCAGGCAACACTTACTTTTGGTTCGCAGTGTTTGGATTCCAAGTTGTTTGAGTACCAAGGCGTTTGAGAACCAAGGGACTGCTGTACTTTAAATGTGCCAATGCTTCTCGTAGCTTAGACCCAGCCAGGTGGGCAAAGTATAAATAATAAAAGTTATTATTATTGTAATAAATGAAAATCTGCCCTCATTCCCTTATGGGGGACACAAGAGCCCTTTTAGAGTCCTTTGTGGGTTCTCCATCGGTTGGAGAAAATAACAGAGGCCAACCAGAGAATATTGAGAAGCAAAGCAGCTAGTAAGCCTGATCTTTATTGATCTGTTGCAACAGGGTCCTCACTCCCCACATGCAGGAGGGAGGAGGAACCCCAAACAAAGGTGTGCCCGCCCTTATATAGACATTTTAAATTCCCTGCCCTGGAGCTCAAGACCACCCCTCCATACATCATACATACAACACAGAAAAGGCGGTCTACAGCAGAAATCTGAGTGCATTGTTTATCGCCTGTCTGGCAGGTTATCTGATAATGCCTGATCTGATTGCCTTTCCTGGTAGTCTGTCACCCTTTGAAATGGTGAATACTCAATTCCTGTAACAAGGAAGGTTTTCTTTTCACCCCCTCCCTCCTTGCAGAGAAAACATTTGGTCAGCTTGGGAGTCAAAAAAATGGTTTCAGGGCGGTCCTCCTGTGCTGCTCCAGACATGTGGTCCCCATATCTATGTACGTGCTTGCTTGGTACATTTATGAACATTTGTTATATATATATATATAAGACCTTAATTTTTTTATTTCATTCTTATTATGTGGGGAGCCTCCAAAACCATCCCTTTTGTGGGGTTTGGTGGGTGCTGCGGAGCCCTCCTTAAACCCTCCCCTCTCTCCTCTCCCCCAGGCAAATTCCCAGAGGATTTCTCCATCATGGCCCTGGTGAAGCCCAAATCCGGACTCCAGGCGTTCCTGCTCTCCATCTACAACCAGCATGGCACCCAGCAGCTGGGCGTGGAGCTGGGCCGCTCCCCCGTCTTCCTCTATGAGGACCAGAGCGGGCGCCCTGCCCCAGAGGACTACCCCATCTTCCGAGGGGTCAACCTGGCCGACGGCAAGTGAGTGCCCTCCCCTCCCGGCTTCCTTCTCTGCCCCCTCCATCGCCCCACTGCAGGACGAAGGCCTGTGCTTTGTCACGATCCCTGGTGCAATTCCCGCATGGCCCGGGGTTGGGCTAGATGACCCTCGGGGAGCCCCTCTCCAACTCCTCCATTCCACTATCCTTTGATATTGTGATTAACACATACAATGCATGACAATTACAGAATAGAAAAATCAAAAATGAAACAAAAACTCAGAGAATCGTCTCTAAATACACCAGCAGAATTCGCCAAAGTGTGTATGAGAAAAGCACCACAATTTTAACAAACACCAAATATAATGCGTAGTAACATCTATTGCCTGGGTTGTTGGCCACAAATAAATATATCTATATACTGCACCAGCAGCAACTATGGTCTACAGGAGTTTATACAAAAGCAAGAGGAGCGGGAAAGAAAAATAATAATTAAGATTTGTGCTTTATACAAACCTTTGGCCTTTTGCTCAACCTGTAACTTCCGTGTCAGTTTTCCCAGCAATGTTTTCTGCCAGATTGCCCTATGCCTCTGGTCCGGAGTCAATCACTGCAATGATTTCCGTGTCCTGGCAATGGTCGTTCTTGCCCCCCGCGGTTATCGGATGTGTTATGAGTTCTTTATTTCTAATTCGTGAAATATCCTGACACATTTGCAAGAAACCGATCTTTAGAGACCCACATGTTGCGACTCTCTGCCCATCGACATTGAGCAGGTGCCTTCGCTGGACTCTTTTCGGCCCCTGCTAAGAACGGTTTTGTTTGGGGGGAATCGTAGCGTAGGAAAGAACCTCAAGGATCATCTAGTCCAGTGTTTCCCAACCTTGGGCCTCTAGCTGTTTTTGAACTACAATTCCCATCATCCCTGACCACTGGTCTTGCTAGCTAGGGATGATGGGAGTTGTAGTCCAAAAACAGCTGGAGGCCCAAGGTTTGGAAACAGTGATCTAGTCCAACCCTCCCTGAAAGAGCTGCTGCCAGTCTGTGTAGACAATACTGATCCAGAGGGACTCCTTGGGAAGCGTCTTCCTGTGTTTCCACGTAGACCAATGTTGGCAGGTGTTCTCATCTGGTTTTTAGTTTATCAGTTGACTCAAATTATTTTTTGAAGGTTCAATATAGTTGTTCATTCTTAGCTGTGTTTTCCTGATAGCTCCATCGCTCCGTTCTTCTTGTTAGCATTTTTTTCATCTTCTCTTTACCACCAAGCAGCATATACCATATTTTTCGCTCCATAACACGCACCTGACCATAACACGCACCTAGTTTTTAGAGCAGGAAAACAAGAAAAAAATATTCTGAACGAAACAGTGGATGTATGATTTTTGTGGTTCATGCTGTGGCCACAGACATGTGATCTGACGGTTTGGGGTAGCCCAATGCAAAAATCCTGAGGATCCATGTGGATCTGTGCTTTGTAACCACATTTTTGCACCATTGCGGCCCCACGCAACAGTGGGTGCGTGATTTTTTTGGTTCAGGCTGTAGCCATGGACATGCTATGTGATCTGATGGTGAATTTGGGGTGAATTTGGGGTGACCCAATGTAAAAATCCTGAGGATCCATGGGCTTTTACCTCCCCCCTCCCAGGCAGCCTCCTTTATCTCTAGCGTCCCTTATCTCTCTCCCCGATCGGCAAATGATCAGCGGCTTTGTTTCAACACCCACTTCCCTCTTTCAAAAAAAGAAGAAGCATGATCTGCTTTTCTCCCCTGGGCAATTCGGCTCCAGCGACCACACATTCACTCCATAAGATGCACAGACATTTCCCCTTACTTTTTAGGAAGAAAAAAGTGCATTTTATGGAGCGAAAAATATGGTAAATTCTGAGAAATACAAGGTGAAATAAATTTGTAGGCCCCACTCGGCACCTTCGAACCATAACCCGGGTGGGAGATTCACCCTGCGAGTTGTAGTATAGAGGCTCACGCCTAATTCTCTGTCGGTCAGACTTTATTCCACGATGCGTGGTTGGCACCTGTCTCGAGAGGCAATGGCGTGCGTTTCCATACTACAACTCCCAGGGTGAATCTCCCACCCGGGCTATGGGAGACTCCACGCTGGAATTGTGTAGGGTTTGCTCCCGAGCCTTGTTTTCTCCCGAAAATATCCCGCAAGGCAGTGGAGATTTAGGACCAGAGTTTTCCTTCTCCTAGATGGGCTCCTTTCCTCTACAACCTGTGCAGAAACCGCCTTCTTGTCCGTTGGACCTGCTCATGGCCGCAGCATAATTTAATAATAATTTCATTATTTGTACCCCGTCCCATCGGACTGAGTTTCCCCAGCCACTCTGGGCGGATTCCAGCACACACAAAAACATAATAAAACACCTAATGGTTCTTATCACCCTGAGTAGTACTGAGTTAAAAAACAAAAGAGGAATGCAAACGGGTAAAATTGATGGTCACTGCAGCCAGACAGGTTATAGCGAGTAACTGGAGAATATTATAATTTTAGAATACCTAACTGTGAAGAAAGGGGCGCGGGTGGCGCTGTGGGTAAAACCTCAGCGCCTAGGACTTGCCGATCGTATGGTCGGTGGTTCGAATCCCCGTGGCGGGGTGAGCTCCCGTCGTTCAGTCCCGGCTCCTGCCCAACTAGCAGTTCGAAAGCACTCTTAAGTGCAAGTAGATAAATAGGGACCGTTTACTAGCGGGAAGGTAAACGGCGTTTCCGTGTGCTGCGCTGGTGCAGGCTTGCCAGAGCAGCTTCGTCACGCTGGCCTAGAGTCTGTCAAGACTGGCCCGTACGGGCAGGGGTACATTTACCTTTAACTGTTGTCAGGGGCTCAGGAGCAGAGGCACAGGGGAGAGAGGAAATGGAGAGCGAAGGGGAAGAATCTGAGGGCAGCGGAGGGGAGAATGACAGTGACCCGAGAGATTCCATGAGCCTCTCCAGTGAATCAGAAGATTCCCAGAAGGGGGCGCCGATGGTCAGGGCAAGGGGGGTCCCAGGGGGGACGCACCAGAAGCAAGGGGCCAGCAGGGACTCCCAAAGCAGCAGTGGGAGATCAGGACCAGCTTCCCCACCAGAGCGTAGTGGGGGGGGAAGAGTCCCATGTGTCAGGGCCAGCGTCTCCTCCAGCAGGGAGAGAAGATGAGTCAGGACTGACCACGCCTCTATCGGAGAGTGGGGGAACGGAGGGGAGGTCAGATCCAGCTAGCCTCGCCGAAGGGGGAAGCAATGACAGGAGCAGTGTAACGGTCAGGAGGAAGGTGGCCGGCTGGGCGCGCGCGCCAAGTTCGAATGTACAGGCGCGTGGGACAGCAGAAAACCCGGATTGGGAACCAGGTCCTAAAGCCCGCCGGAGGCAGGGGGAAGACTCAGGGGACTCAGCGTCAGAAGAGTCTAGGAAGGGCAAGACCCCAGCGGACAGGCGGACCCAGAGGAGGAAAGAGCAAAGGAAGAGGTGGAGCAAGGCTAGAGTCTTAAACTGGTGTCTGGGGGGAGGAGACTCAGACGGAGCTTCGGCGGTCTAGAGTTTGAGACGTAGAGCTGCGCGCCGTGGCTGTGAAAGCGAAACTGAGCTTCAATAAAGATTGTTTTATATAACAACGAACTGGCGTTGGACCTTTGTGAGCTGGGACCTAGGGCAGCTCTGACAACTGTGAAGATACATAGAATGAATGAAAAGGTTTAAGGTCAGTGAGAAATAAATAAACCTTGTGGAAGGAGGAGTGTTAAGGTATATAGAAGTGTACATATGGTTAATTTGACTATGTTGTTATTGAATATGTATATTATTGAATATTGTATACCCAATGTATCAGCTGCCTGGGGGGTTTCACTGTTTGTGTTTTGGTGGTTGGTAAAAACTAAAATATTTTTTAAAAAACATAATAAAACACCAAACATTAAAATCTCCCCTGTACAGGGCTGCCTAAGTTCAGGTGTCGCCTAAAGGTGTATTGTTACTTATCTCCTTGACATCTGAAGGGAGGATTTCCCAGAATAATAATAATAATTTTATTATTTTATCATCCTCCCATTCTGCCAGCGGTGCATTTCAATAAAGTCGAGGGAGTCCCAAACTGTAGGTGGCGCCGCGCTGAATATCGGCCCTTCTTATCCACGTGGAACTGGCATTATTACTCCATTATTATGCAGTTCTGTGACTCTGCGATTCCCCCCCCTCTATCCAGGTGGCACCGGGTGGCTCTGAGCGTCAGCAAGAAGCAGGTGACCTTGATCCTAGACTGCAAGAAGAAAGTGACCCGCCCTTTGCCCCGCGGCAACCAGCCGGCCATCGACACGCGCGGCATCACCGTCTTTGGAACCCGCATCCTGGACGAGGAGGTCTTCGAGGTGGGCGGCCTTCTCCGCTCTCTCCCGCTGCTACTTCGGCCAGCGGGTGCCGGGCTCACCAGCTCTTCCTTTGGCTTACTCCCCGCAGGGTGACATCCAGCAGCTGCTCATCTCCTCCAGCCCCCAAGCAGCCTACGACTTCTGCGAAGACTTCAGCCCCGACTGCGACGTGAAGGCCGCCCAGAAGCCCCAAGCGCAGGAGGCCCAGAGAAACCCCAGCAGACCTGAGGTGAGGTGAGGGGGGCAGAGGAGCCGGGTTCCAGGAAAGGGGTCCACGTCCCACCCCCCTTCCACCTCCTCAGCATCCTTGCTGGGCAGTCGGGGAAAGTCTGTTTGCTTCTGGGAGGAGGAAGCCAGGAGGCGGTTCTGTGTTCGAAACACAGTCTGAACCTTCACCTGCCCTCCTGGGAGGGGGGTTGTTGTTGAGGACAGACAGAAGAAGAGTTTGGATTTGATATCCCGCCTTTTCACTCCCTTAAGGAGTCTCAAAAGCGGCTCACATTCTCCTTTCCCTTCCTCCCCCACAACAAACACTCTGTGAGGTGAGTGGGGCTGAGAGACTTCAGAGAAGTGTGACTGGCCCAAGGTCACCCAGCAGCTGCAGGTGGAGGAGCGGGGAAGCGAACCCGGTTCCCCAGATTATGAGACTACCGCTCTTAACCACTACACCCACACAGGTGGGGAAGTGGCGACATGTTTCTAAACAATCCCAAAGGTATAGCTGTCAACTTTTCCCCTTTCTTGCGAGGAATCCTATTCAAAATAAGGGAATTTCCCTTTTAAAAAGGGAAACGTTGACAGCGATGCCCAAAGGCTCCTGGTTCAAGGTTGAGACTTGAGAGAGACCCCCGCCTGACCTCTGCAGACGAGGGTCCAACTCTGTACAGAACAGCTTCCTAGGACGCTAAATCTGCCCGGACTGTGCCAGGAGAGGGAAAGGAAACTATTTTAGAGGCAGCGATGACGCAAAGGAAACACCTTTTCCACGTGCCAGATTCTTAAGGTCAACCGGAGCGAAAATCCGCCTCACATCTTCCTTCTTCGGGGAATTTTCCACCTTCGTTCTGACTCAGGGCGTTTCGTTGTTTCGGAGCAAGGCCAGGCTCCCCTTTTGAGCAGCCCAAAGATGGAATTGCGGAGTCGGAAGGGACCCTCTGCGGTCATCTAGCCCAGCCCCCTGCAATGCAGGAAGCACAGCTGAAGGCTCTGGGGTGTTTAAGTGTCCTCGCTGGCACTGCGATTTCGCCTCCTGGCAGTTCCCAACGCCCCCTTTTGCCGGTGGATCTGGAGTGCAGGATTGTGTCCATGTTGCACCTGAAGGGGAAGCAGGTTGCTAACTTGGGGCGATTATTGAGAGCATTTTTACATATTGGTATTTGTGTCCAAGGTGGCGCTGTGGGTTAAACCACAGAGTCTAGGACTTGCCGATCAGAAGGTCGGCGGTTCGAATCCCCGTGACGGGGTGAGCTCCTGTTGCTCAGTCCCAGCTCCTGCCAACCTAGCAGTTCAAAAGCACACCTGTGCAAGTAGATAAATAGGTATTGCTCCAGCGGGAAGGTAA